AAGAAAGCAGTTATTCCCCTGCAGAGGCGTCTGTGCTTTTCTAAGTATTCCTGTAAAAATGCTTGGCGTTTGTTTCATAAAGTGTGTTAGCATGCAAAAAGTAGTATACACTTAACAACACATTAGCTTGTTACATTTTATGAGTGATCTCAGGATTAAGGACTAGAGACATAGAGGTCGTTCCCAAAGGTGAAGTAGCGACTAATGTGTGAACAGATGGAATCTTCTCAAACCACAACCTCACCCCACTCATGCCTGCTTCATTCATGCAAATACCTGGTCACACCAGCCTCTGTGGAGGGAAGTCACACCCCAAGAGTCCTTCCCGTGACTCAGTCATTTCAGAGAGGGCCACGCGCCCACACGATTCCATCTGCCTACGGACTGCTGTGATGGGGCGCCATGGAGAAAAGATACATCACAACTTGTGTTTAATCATAATCCCTCAAAGACGAGCATGAGAAGTCGCCAACGACCGTGCTTATTCATGTCGTACGTATACAGATGACAGCTATTAACAACACACATACAAGTGCTCATTATGAATTAACAAGTCCAGTTCACAAAACCCACCATTAGAGGTGGTTTCTCCTGTCATACACATTTTACAGACAAGCAAACTGAGGCCCAGAGAGGTTATATAATCTGCCCAAGGTCACGAAACAAGGTAATGGGAGAGCTGGAATAAGAGAAGCTACTATGGCTGCAGTTCACGCTATTAACCACTGTGCTACGCATACAGCTTCCCAGAGATCCCTAACACCTACCGTTCTCTTAAAATTTTACTAGCTATTCCCTCCACCCATCCAGACACCAAAAAAATAAAGTCAAAGAAATACGGGTATCCCCCCACTATCTGAAAGTAGAGAGTTCCTATAAAGCCTTTCATAAGCCGAGACAGCAAAAAGTAAGAAAGGAATCACCATTAATTTATACGGGAATTTTTTTTTTTTTTGAGCATTCCCAGGCCCAAAATATAACCTACCAAATCATACTAAATACACATAAAACACTTCCGAGCTCTCTCAGGCTTTTCTAATACCTTAGGACACATCTTGCTAACAGATGCACAAAATAAATCCATAAAAAGCACAGATGCTCCCAGACACAGTTCAAAGCTATGGTGGCCTGAGGCTGAGATGCTGAGTGTAGATCCCGATGCACGAGCCTGGGGGCGCCAGTTTCACTGCCCGGGGTACACGCTCCCTCTTTAAAGGCTCACTGCAAACAAACGCTGAACGCTACTTCTGCTTTTTGCCTTTTTTCGAAAAAGTGAAAATCCTCTTCGTATTTCTTTCAGTTAGCAAAAACAGGTAAAAATGTACATCTTTCATAAAAGCAAAGTGGCATAAAAGAGAACTTTCAAAAAGCGGTGATCCCCATACACACAGTGAATTCTGCTGTGTCTCTGAGACCATGAATCTGGATCCTCCATTTACTCACATCTGAAAGAATACCATCACCCACTTCTTTCTCCCAGCCAAACAACTCCCCCCTGTCTCCAAACCTAGTCATTCCTAAGAGTTTCTCACAGCCAGTTTACACCTGCCTGCTGTCTGTCCACGGTGGCTTCTGTGAATACTCAGGTGCTTGAAGGGAACACAAGTTTCACAAAAACGACCACAAGTAACAGGACGGCCAACAGAAGGCAGTCGGGGCTGAGGAGCTAGGCGTGTACACCAAACTCAGAGGGGAAGCGTCATTCCACACAGAAAAAACTGCATTCATGTTTATTTTTTTTTTTTTTTTTGTAAATTCATCTACCACAATGATGAAGAGAAAATTGACACCAAGGAACTGAAAAAACCCAGGATTCCAGATGAGCTGAGCGCTGCCCATCTCCACGTGCTGGGCTGCCTTGTCCACCGAGCAGACAGAGAGACTCTAAAGAGGAGCTGACTTTTCCTTTTACAAAACATGATTTTAGATAATAACCTTTAAATGGTTAGTTAAAAATTACCTTTTCTTAAAAACCTCCATAAAGAAATATACTAAGGAAAAGAATAACAAATTCGAGAAAAGGGCAAAACAACCCTATAGGAACTCTGGATTTCACCGTTTTTATATCTGCCAAAAAAGATCCCTAACTTCAACTAAAAGCGAGGGCAACAAGTACGGAGGGAAAAACATAGCTTAAGGGGTTTACTGCAGAAAAATGACACTTAGTAAATACATGAGATGCTTTGGCTGAAAATTTCTCAAAAACATGCTACAGGCATCATCTGAAAAAAAAAGTAACTTGTTCCAATTCGCAGGTTGGAAAATGAGACTGGCTAAGGTCTGAACTGAGGCTGGAACTGGTCTCCGCCCCACCACCACCCCATACAGATAAAATTTTTCAGAAGAAGGAAGTCAACAGAAATTTCCTTCTCTTTCTCTGCTGACCAAGGCAAAACGGTTATTAACTAATCCTAAAAGCATGTACCTAAAAAGATGTATACATCAGGAATAATTTAAGTGTACAAGAATAGCTAGTAATTCATGTAATTCTGAAAAAAGAAAAAAAGATAATGCTTTTTCCAAAGCCAACACATAAAATGTGACCCTGGATTTTCTGAATTTAGCATTTTGTCCTAGAAAGACTACATACCAAAAGAGAATCCAAATGTTCAACCTTCAAACACGCTCATCTGCGTATACGTGATGTTTAGAGAATTGTAGACCCAAGTAAGAAATGTCACGTAGTCAACAAACCACGCAGCACTTGAACGGCATCTTAAAATAACCATTTGAGGCAGTTACTCTGAGCTTGACTTGACATCTTCACTAGAGACAGCACATTCCATCAACTCATTAGAAAAGGTGTACTATCCGTGAAGACGATGGGAGGCTGAGCACTGCAATCTCAACACTACACTTACAAAGCTCCAGGAATTCACACTCCATTTCATCCATCATCCTTCAGAAGACAGGGTTCATACTATGTCAACAAAATACCAATGAGGAATCAAAAATTAGCACTTAAAAACCTGAAGGTATTCATTTAAAAATTATCATTCACTGTATCCTGGCTAAGAAAACTATACCCTAACTACACTACCTGTTTGAAAGCTACAAATGCCCCCCTCTTCCTCCTGTACTCAAGGGCACTCCGACCAGTCCCACATCGAGCTTAACCTGTTAAGACTTAATCCACACGTCCCTGATGGATTTCACTACTAGAGTGTGACCATAACCAACTAATAAGCTGTTATGAACCATTAATATGAATCCATATGAATTCAGTATGGACAAGGTATTTGGCCCACTAATAATTATGGCAGATTTCCCATGTAAGTTTTCTTTGATGATAAAAAGCTCTACCAGACTCCTTGGCATACAGCTACACAACATCACGGTCCCACTTCAGAGAGGAGGAAAGCCGCACTCAGAGGAGGGGCAAAAGAGCCACCTCGAAGTAAATGAAGCCTGCTGATCATCATCACACTCACATGCTGACCAGTTCACAGCCAAAGGGGTGCATGAGGGACAGCCACATAGCTGAAGGAGTGGGTACTGCCACCTCCAATCACAGACTCATAAAACTCTGTTCCCCAAATGGAGGTGAAAGATGATGTCAGATGCATGAACACCCACCCAAGCTCGAAAGCATGGATAATAGGTATTATCATTATGCATTCCAATACTTTACTGATATATTGTTACATAGACTTGAAATCCCTCTTTCATGATGATTCATCTTTAAGATGGAGGGGAGGGGTGGGTTAGGGTTCATTATGGCATATCTGTAATATAATAGGCTTGTCTTTAAGATATTCACCCAAGTGTCTTTAAAAAGAATAACACACGGAGCCCAGGGCACTGGTAGATCAAAATGTGCTAATAACAAATCTATTGATATCTTCTAAGACACAGCACTGAGGACTAAGACAAAAGAAGGTGGAAGTTAGTATGATTAATACACACTTGGCGTACTGTGAGCTTTTAAACAAGGACACTGCATAATGGATGAAAATAAACTAAGACTGAGCTATGCATCTCAAACCTGAGATCCAAAATACAGTTCTGCTAAGCAGCTAATCTTGTCCTTTTCTCAATTTTCCAGTACACGCAGTTGTTCATGACATACACACATCTAGTTTCCGAAAAGTATAATTCTGCAGAATGAGCAAACAAAGGAACCAGATCACGGAAAAAAAATTTTTTTTTCCCTTTCCCCAAACTCTCAAACTAACAGATTCTAACAAAAGGACATCAATCTAGTCATCCCAGGAAAATATCGAGAACGTGAACGGAAAAGTAATGAAATGAGATATAAATTCTAAAAGGGGGGAGAAAAGTAAACAACGCGTGCAGTATAAAATAAGGCAGAGATGAGCAATGGGTTTTGAAAACACCCAATTAAAAGTAATATTCTATAATGTCACTGCCACTGTTTGACCATGAAACTACAAATCCTTATCAAACTACCATAGTCAATGTGCTTATAACAGTCTTCAGCATATCTAAGAAAAGTCATACAAAAATATCTGCTGGTAACTTAAGTTTTAAGAATCAATTTGACAACTACTAACTTGGTTAAAAGTCAATGGATTAAAATGCACACCATGTAATTTTTGCTTCCCTAACAAGAAAAAGAAAAAAAAAATTTTTTTTTTTAAAAGAAACAGCACAGTTAATTCTTTACCTTTTTAGAAACAACTCCTTTCAGAAGTTAGCGAAGTATCATATAACATCCTCTTCAGGATTACTTACTACTGATGAGAACCAATTAAAATGACCAGCGAAGGCAGCCATTACAAACTGGCAACTTTTGGAGCAATTCTTACGGCAGGAACGTATTTTGTTTGGCCCGCAGAATTTTTTGGTTGATTCATTTTTAATTAGACACAGTAACCAATATTTAAAAATCAGAAATCAGGAAATTTCAAACATCCAGAATTCTCGCTCTTCTACTGAAATCAGGCGAGTGGGCGTATGTTCCCGTCTGGCAAAAAGCTGCAGCCTGAGTTTGCAGCCCCTGGTTTAGGGTGCCAAAGTTTCCTGCTTTGGGTACTAACCTTTTCCTCGACGGCCCTTCTTCAAAATCTGAAGAACTAACATCGTTGCTAGTAGAGGACACTTGGGATGCATCATCCTTCTCATTCTCTGACTGTTCTGATGCTGGTCTTAATGCCTTAGACTGGCCATTACCAAGGAACCCTACAGATGAGAGAAGGGGATAAACACTTAGAAACATGGTATCAGGAAGCAGCACAGTTATCCCTACACAGTGGCTGGAGAAGAGACAAAAGGAATGTGGATACAAGAGAATTAAAAAGTCCATGTCCCTTTTCAATGGGAGAGAAAAAAAAAAATTAAACCTCTTCCTACTTTTAAGAGTGAAATGCCTGAAAAGAGGGAAAAAAATCTACAGTAGAAAAATCGAGCAGAAATTTGTAATAATAATATACTTTTGGGCTCTTTTGTTAAATACATCTTGGGGACTAAGAGAGAGGGTGTTGAAAGGAAGAAAGACATTTCAAATATTACCAAATCAAACTACTTATTCTAGAACTGCTACATATTTAGTCTAGAGATGCTGAAATTGACTTTTAAACTTTTTATGGACAAAATCTCTTTTAATTGCCTTTAGGAACCACTAACTGCCATACAAGAAAAAAGAGTCGTTATTTTGTAGCCTATCTTAGGTTTTTAACTAGAAATCCTATAGAACAAGTTGCTCTTCATAGCAATCCATTAGACTATAGACCCTAACCAAGATTTCTCTTTGATTGTTTCAATGGATGCTCTATCACTACACATACACCCACCATGCATCCACAGACAGAGTCCTGGAAACTCTGGCTGTGCTTCTGGTAATCAGAACGTAAGACAGGTCCTAGGGAAGAAGCTGCTGGCCCTCAAGGGACTCAAGAACAAGTACTATTATAAGCAGTAAGGCCACACTGGTGGGTGAAGGCTGAATAAAATTCCTGTCTTACAAGGATGCCCTTTATCACCACTCCTATTTAACATTGTGCTGGAAGTTCTAGCTAGAGCAATAAGGCAAGAGAAAGAAATAAAGGGCATCCAAATTGGT